AAAGTAAAAAGGTAGTAAAATACAGCACACCTCCGAGAACTGGGAGAGGGCCAATCCAAGAGGAAAAGTGCTGCTCCTTTGTTTTTCCTGTTTTTATATCCTGGCTTAGGGGCATTTTCATGATTGATTGATTCACGGCTCAGGTTCTTTGCTCAGGCTGATTGACAGCTCACATTCCTTGTGCTCAGACACGCCCATCCCTTTTGTGCGGGTTCTTACCCATGAAGCTCACAGAAACCTATGGGAAGGGGCTCAAACTGCAATGTTAATTACATTATAATGAGCATTGGGTCAAGTTAAGCCGGGTCCTTCTGTCTGTTGTGCAGCTGCAGTGTTCGAGCCTAGCTGACTTCTTTGCTGGCCCTCATTTAGAGAAAGTAAGTTTTGGAGCCCCTTATCCTGAGTGCAGGCATACTACAGGGTTGTTCCTTTTCTTTCCTCTCCCACTCCCCAGTGCTCATTTCTATCTAACTGCCTAACAATTTCGTAATTAAAGTTCTTAAAGAAACAAATTACACAACTTCAAATACTGGTAAGTGCTTTGGAGACAAAAGAGCAGAGTCAAGGGTATGGGTGATGGCAGCTGAGGAGGGAAGCTGTTTTAAGTACAGGTGGTCAGAGAAGGCTCCTTGTAGGAGGCAACATTCTGACACCTGAATGACAGAAGGGCACACCGTAGAAAGATCTGGGAGATTTCCAGGTCCAGGGAAGGTCAAGTGTAAAGAGCCAGTGGTAAGAACAAGACTAGCTTGTTTGAGGAATGAACGAACACAAGTCTTCGTGAGCGTAGGGCCAGTGGTGATTGAGATGGAAGAGGCAGGCAGGGGCAACTGTGGAGGCCTTGGGAGCCACAAGAGGGAATGTGGATTGTATTCAGAGCACAACGAGATGCCCCTGATGGGTTGGAAGCAAGAATGTGACACAATATTTAAAAAAAAAAAAAAAGTCTGGCTGCCATTGAAAATAGACCAGACCAGGGGACCAGGGCAGGTGAAGATGGGAAGCTAGTTAGGAGAATATTACTCATTTCTAGATAAGAGATTGGAGGGGCAAGACTTGGTGGCAGTAGTGGAAGCCATTAATCGTGGTCAGATTCCAGCTCCGTCTGGACGTGGAGTGGGAGGCGTGAGAAAGAGCAAGGACGGCCCTAGGCTTGCGGCTTGAGCAGAGAGGTAGCTCATGGTCCCACTGAGCTGGAAAGGATGGAGGAGGAAGTGGTTTGGGTGCAGGAAGAGCTCTGACAGGACATGTCAAGTCTGAGTTGCCTTTTACATTGGGCCAATGGAGATGCTGCCTGGGCTTCTTAGACATGAATCTGAAGCTTAGAGGACTGCAACAAACAGTGGAATCAGCTGGCTGTTTCAGTACAGTCCCTTTGAGTTCCCATTTTTCCTAGTAGTGCCCACCCTCTGTCATAATGGAAGACAGTCTTCCACCTTCGGGTTATGAAGAAAGGAAAATAAAAGTTAGCTTTAAAAGACAGGTAAACACAGCACAGTTCTGACTTGAAAACTTTTTCATCAGATTATCTTCATTGATTCAAATTTTAAAAATAATCAGCAATCACTTAAGCTATTTCTCTAATTCTGGCAGAGTAGGTTTAATATCAGGAGAAACAAAGTGAGATTTTTGAAAAAGTTATTTTTATTTGATTTTGAATGCTTTGGTGCAAAGTTTTGGGCCTTGTTGCTCCTATTTAAGACAGGCTTAGCTTCTAGGTGATTAAAGAACCATCTGGCACACAAAATAGAGATTTACCTTATCCCATAGGGTGCTAGATAAAATACAAAATGGCCAGTTAAAATGGGATTTCAGATGAACAGCGAATAATTTGGAGGCATGAGTAGGTCCCATGCAGTATTTTGGGATATACTAAAAAAAGTATTTCTTGCTTATCTGAAATTCAGGTATAACTGGGTGTCCTGCATGATTATCTACTACATCTGATGTTACTTACTTGAAATTATCACTGTTCTATGACCAACAGTTCTTCCTGCTCCCTTGAATTCTAACCTAAGGAAATAAGCATCTATTTGCTGTCTAAATGGTGGTTCTCTCAGAGGGAGACAGATGGTGGTGCCCTATCTATTTAGACAGGCAGAAAACATATAGCTGGATGTCTTTAAGCCCTGCTGCCAGTTTCATGCATAACTTTGCTTATTTTGTTTTGCATTGGGGACAGAAAGACCACCAAGCAGAGAGGAATGATACATGTGCCAGGCAATTTGCAGGTAGCAGAATCAAGAGATCTAGTAATGTATTCTACTATGTCTTGGATTAGTTGTATAATAACCTCTGCTTCAGCCTTCTCACTTGAAAAATATCTTTGCCCAATTCTCCTCACAAAAGTCTTTGAAATTTCACCTAAATGATGTCTATAAATAGTGCCTTGTGTTCCTTAGGAGATGGAGGAGCTATAGTTCGCTACAGCTTCTGCGGTAATACTTATTAACATCAGCAAGTTACAGCCAGACACAAAGACAAAGATAAGCTCTTTTGCATCAGAAAGCTAATTATGAAATTATAGGTTTAAAATACAAGTCTCAGTCAGAATATTAAAGGAGGTGATTTTGGAACATGATAAAAAAATCTTTTTTTTTTTTTTAACATTTTGGCCTTTGTATTTCTTTTTTTTTTTTAACATTTTTTATTGATTCATAATCATTTTACAGTGTTGTGTCAAATTCCAGTGTTCAGCACAATTTTTCAGTCATTCATGGACATATAATAAAAAAATCTTTTTAAAGTTCATTTAAAACAAATTAGAAATCAAATACATTTCTTTAAAAAGAAGTAAGGGGGAAATGCTCAACCAGATATGAAAACACAAATACACAAGAAGTAAAACAGAACAGTTTCAATGCAAGAAGCAGACAAATAGATGAAGTGAACAGATAACCCAGGCACAGACCCGGTTTTCCTCACAAGTCAACAGCTGAAGAGAAAATTACTTTATGAATGTGTGTTGTTCGAAGAGTGGTGTTAGAAAAGCAAGTAAGTTTAGATCCTTACCTCACACTGTATACCACACTCAGTTCCAACTGGATTTGAGAGGAAAAAACAAATACAACTGGAAGAAAATAGCCAATATTCTTCTAATCTTTGGTGAAGGGAGGATTGTATTAATTTATGAAACAGGTGGAGGAAATCACAAAATTTTTAAAAAATAGATTCAACTACCTAAAAAATAAATCTTTGGCATGCTAAAAAAAAAGAATTAGAAAGCAACTAAAGTAATATTTGAATTTTGGATAAAAGATGAATATCTTTGATGTATAAGTTATGCCTATAAATCAAAAACCTGATAGCAAAACAATATGTGGTTAAAAGGGGCAATATGTGCTTAAATATGAACAATTCATAGGAGAAAAAAATGAAGTGAATTAATGGTTGAGAAAGCACTCAACCCTGTTAATTATCAAGTCAATAAACAATTGAAAATATTCTGCCATTTTTTACCTTAAAATCAGAAGTTCTCATTTTTAGTAAGAATTCTCAGCGTGGGTGAGCGTGTCTGATGCATCCTTGCATGTCTGGCTGATGATCAGACTGACGCACTGGGAGGTCAAATGGACCACATAGGGCAAGAATTTTTCAGTGTTCATGTTGTTTTGATTTAATAATTTCATTAGAAGTATCCTAGATTTTACTAGACTATCCTAATTCTAAATTCAAGAAATTTATCCTAAGGAAATTATCTTTTTAAAAATATACAAAGATGTTCATCACAGTATTTTTTAAATATTAAGAAAATTGAAAACAATATGGAAATAATACAGCAAAGCATGGCACGACTACTCAGTGGAGAGTTTCACAGCCGTGTCAGATTCTATTGATAAAGTGTTTGTATTAGCATGGAAAATGTCTATGCTACAATGGAATTTGCACCAAAAAACCCCCACAAAACTCTACACTTATATAAAGAAAATCTTAAGCATAGAAACTTGACTGGAACAAAAAAAAATGCTGGCTGTCTTTTATGGAGCTTCACATGCAGCTGCTTTCTCATTCTTTACTTTTTCTCCATATTAAGAATTCTCTATGGTAGAAAAGTGTGAAATTAAAAAATTATAAAGTTTTGTGTGTTTGTATGTCTGCGTGTCTGTGTTCATATCCCTGTATGTGTTATGTCTGTGTCGCTGTGTATATATATGTATGTCCTTGTATGCATGTCTTTGTGTATGTCTTGTGTATCTGTGTCTGTGTGTGCATCTGTGTGTTACATGTCCATATGTGTATGTGCATCTGTGTATGTATCTATACGTTGCTGTGTGTGTCTGTGCGTCTGTGTACGTATCTGTGTGTGTGCGCATGTACCCATATCCACGTCTCCTGTCCTGTGCGCAGGTCCTTCGGCGTGCTGCTGTGGGAAATCTTCTCTCTTGGATACATGCCATACCCGAGCAAAAGCAACCAGGAAGTTCTGGAGTTTGTCACCAGTGGAGGGCGGATGGACCCACCTAAGAACTGCCCGGGGCCTGTGTATGACTCTTTAAGGAATTTCTACAACTTACTAGGCACAGTTTTCCTTTTCAAAAAATATGTGCAGCCACATATGCTTTTTTGTGTTAAGAGGAAGGAACAGGTGGCTGACCTCATTTAATATGCCCCAAGATAGGAACGTGTCTGTGGCTTCAATGAGATGGGTTAGTCTTCCGGCCCCTTGAAAGCAGTAATGTCAAGCCAGAAGGGTACCCACTGTCTGGATGGAGGCTGTGGACTCACCAGGCTCACACCCTCTAACACCCCATAGGACCCCGCCCCTGCTTCCCTCCACCATGTCTTGAGTCTCCTTTAAGTATTTCTATTCCCTGCATTTGCTGCAGTTCTGTCTGGCATCCCTCATCTCCTTCCCACAAACAAGGCAGATGGGAAATACAATTAGAGGATTCTGCCCCAGAGGTGATTTTAATTCAGGACTGGAATGAGAGGTGCCACATGTAATGTAGACACCAGGATGTCCTTGTTAACGAGCCGGTATGACGGTACTGTCACACTCCACCCATCGGCAGAGGGTAGCATGTGCCAATTGCAGGGACCTGGATAAGTCCCCACCCCCAAAGACAGTGCCACTCCAGTCCCATTTAGAAAACTACTGGGGGAATAAATGTATTTTTCATCCTGTTTCTCCTGATTTGAATGAATGTACTTATTCTTTTAGATACCGGATAATGACCCAGTGCTGGCAGCATCAGCCTGAAGACAGGCCCAACTTTGCCATAATTCTGGAGAGGATTGAATACTGCACCCAGGTACAAACATTTTTACCCCTCAACCATATGGAAAAGTCTTAAAGTTGGCAAATACCAAAATGGGAAAGAGAATTTACACCAGCCAGAAAATAGGAGCTATGATCATGGGAATGAGTGTTAACTAAGGTAAAATAAGTGGTTCTCCGTTTGTCCATTTTGAAAATAAACACTAGTCACTGCCACTTAAGAGGACCAAAGCTTGGAGAGGTTTTGTCCAAGCCACCCCTCTTCCCAGCAGGCCGTCGGGTCCCAATGCAGACCCCTCTCCCATTTCTGTCAGTGATGACCCTGAATATTGCCTTTGATAGAAATGGGATAGCATTTCCAGTGGAGGCTATCAAGTGAGAGTCCCCTCAGTTTCCACCGTCTCCAGGGTTCTTAATGGAGGCAGTGCCCCCTCTCCCTGCACCAGCTATGGCCCCACAGGGACTTTCACTCGGTCACTTCTCCCCTCTCTCGTCTCATTCTGCCAGGGTGTCTAACTCTGGAAAGCACTGTAGAGGTCGGACAGTAAACCACTACCTTGTTCTCCCAGCCTGGTTGTGACAACAGATGTACACATTTTCACATGCTAGTCACTCCCTGGCCTCACAATTCTGTCCTTTCAGGTCCTTTGAGCTCAGAACTAAGTAGACTGGCATTTATCTAGATGGACTTTTAGTTATTTTCAGTTCTTTCGGAGAACTGGATGTTCACTGGCATTTTAGGTTATTATGTTGTAACATTAATAGAATACACACACACTCACTCTCTCTCTTTGGAGAAAAATTACTCCAAAGTATATAATCCCTCTTAAAAGCAGGGAGCTCTGTACAAGCATATTTTGACTGACTCACTATAGAAATTAATAATAAGGAACTAAACCCTGAAACAGAATTAGAAGGTAAGTAAGTTATTTTTTATTCTTCTGCTCTTCACGGACGAGTACTGGACCTATTTGCTTTTCTGTTAAACTGAAGTAGTGCTTTTCTTAATTTGCATAAAATACTAAAGAAGTAAGTTTCCTTAACTTTTTCTCCCACCGATGTTCCTCAAATCTGACAAATGCTTCTGCTTTTCTGTTTTCCTCTATTGCTGTAAAAATGCTCTAGCACGAAGTTGATTTTGTAAATGTTTTCCTTATGGCACTTCACTATTTTTTAGGTTTCATCATATCCAAACTAGTAAAAGAATCACTGCATTGAGGAGAGCTGTAAGGATATGATGATTAACATAAAGTTAGTACCAAGCCAAGCCCATCCAGACAGAATGGGAGGTAGTGAGGAAGAGGAAATGAACCTTGTAAAACAGCATGGTGTCCCTCCCCTCCCCCTTGCCCCACCACACACAACTGAAGTCAAACCCAGACTTTTTGGTTGAAAGGATTTTATTGTGAATAGACTGGAATCATTTTTTTTTAAGTAACTTATACTTCTTTTTAAAAATCCATTAATCTGTAAGATTTGCCCAACTGTCTCTGCAGGGCCTTTCCTGACCTCACTCTCCTGCCCCAGGCAGGATTACTGCACACACGTCAGTAATCCTGCTTCTCCTCCATGCTCTTCAAAGGGGAGGAAGATTTCCCATTGTTTCTTACGCCCCCGGGGCTTACAGATAAATATATCCCCAGTAAACACTGAAGGGCTTCCTCTTCTGTAAAATCAATTTGGATGAGATCATTGCTAAGTCTGGTCTGCGATTCAAAGTTTGACTCCATTCATTTCTCCCACCTGTAGGATCCAGATGTGATCAACACCGCGTTGCCCGTAGAATACGGCCCCCTGGTGGAAGAGGAAGAGAAGGTGCCCACAAGGCCCAAGGACCCCGAGGGCCTCCCTCCTCTCCTGGTCTCGGCGCCCCCGGCCAGACGCGAGGAGGGCCGAGAGCTGGCCGCCCCGCC